CCTTCTTTTCGGTTATGTGATTTTGACGACTAGGTAGTGAACGAAGCTCCGAAGAGCCTTTCTTTGAGAATGACCCGAGGCCGGGTAACTCGGTTACCAACACCCAAAAATCTACTCAACAGTTATTACCATAAACAAGTTACTATAAACATAGATAATTAGTTATGTAAACTAATACTCCATAAAATCCGCACGAGCTAATTACCATAAAGATAAAATCTTGGCATATCTGTAAATAAAAATAACAACTTCAGCAATGTTGCAAATAATTATATAATGAATACTTTTTTACAAATAAAAAAGAATAATATAGTAGAGTGCGTAATTTTCTCAAGATAATAGGTCACTACATGACCTGTGTGTTACTCACATGGGCTTGGAAGATTGAAGACACTTTGTGAGTCTATGAGTCCAATGTCATGGAAATATTTGAAGCAGCAATTAGATTTGGAGACGACACTTGCCCTGGGAGAATTATTTAGAGGAATTTACACCCCGTCCCTTCATATTCATATATATTACATTTATAAACGCTTTTTATTTTATTTATAAAATAGCTAAACAAACACAATAATATTACAATTATACCTAATATCATGTGTTAGAAGATATAAACCGTCATCATAATTTTCGCCCAATATTTTGCTCTCTCGCATCGTCAATAGCAGGGTTCAGAATCGTTTCTTCTTTGATAAAAATCTTGCACACATCAGAAGAATCCGAGCCAAAAATTCATCTCCATCGCTGCCTTTACTCGCTCGCCGTCGCACCAGTGGCTCTTTGCCGGTGTTTTTCCCTTCATCCCTTTTTCGGTCTGCCCAACAGAGAGATGAGCAACACCTCGCGGCTCAATCCACAAAGTTCGACCGTTCTCGTGGCGGCGTATTGCACCGACGAGTCCCACACCCAGCAGATCCAAGCCGATCCGTCCACCGTAGCCGTCGTGTTCAACCGGCTTCTGGTAGCAGCCGCTCGTCCACCGGAGAAGAGTTCTCGCCATCTGAAGTCGAGAACCATCATAGCCCGCACGCCTGGAGTTCTGTTCACACCGAGCAGATTTTTTTTTTATTTTTTTTTCAGGTAAAAAATCATGTGTATGTTTGAAAAATATACGTCTTTAAATCTATAAATTTCTTGAGATTTTTGACGATGGAGGCTAATGATATTTCGTATTGGATTTCTTCTTGTGTGGATTTTTCTCCATATTTTCGAAGCATCGATTGTTTCTGTTTCATGATTCATGATCGCAAGGTGATTGATTTTATTTCTCTGTGAATCACATTTTCTCTACTTTTATGTATAGTATATCTACGGTATATGTATAGTATATATTCACGGCAATATATGTTGCGTGTATAGACATGTAGTGTATGTGGTGTGTATAGGGAGTATATGTTAAGTATATTAGAAGATATTTTTGTACATTGTTCATTATATGTTATGTTTATAGAGAGTATATGTTCAATATATTAGAAGATTTTTTTGTATAGGGAACATAAGTAACCTGTTATATTTGTGGATCTTCCCGTGGATCTGTCCTCTCTCTCGCTAACATATTAATATCTAATGATTTTCCAAAAAGTATTGACGAAAGATATAACTTGTGCAAAGCGACTCTAGGGATAATTTTTTTCGCTATCTTTTTTCGAGAACATATACCACCTGACGATTGCGTGAATTACAATATAAGTTTTTATTTCTCTCTATTAGAAAACGTACAAGCGGTGCCAATTAAGGACACGATTGATTTTTTTTTCTGGAAACGGCTGATTTTCATTCCATATCAATGAAGACAAAGTTTTTTTTTTTTTTTTTTTTCTCTTTATGTAAATGGCGGAAACCATGGGAACATAAAATGGATGGAGTCCACTTTTTAGGTAACTGAATTTTAGGCATAAATATAGTTAAATCTTAACAATTAGGTAGAGCCACAAACACCTTTGAATGGATGATAGATTTGTAAAATTTTCAATTTCATGTAGGATAAGTGAAAATTTCCCAATTATTTACGTACCCACCAAGTCAGGAAAAACACACGTAGACCCTTGGGCTTTAATTGGCGCAGAGGGAGACACGAAGAGCCACCACGCAGAGGAAAAAGAAATACGCGAACAGACAACAGAACAGATAGAGGAAAAGTACGAGGAACCCAATCAAAAGCGGAGGGAGACCGCGCCCGCACAGGAGGGAGAATTTTATTCTCTCTTTTCTCTTTTATTATTTATTTTAATTAGTGTGTTAGAGTAGATTTTATTTCTAGTTTTGGGGATCTCGAACCTAACGATTTGATGATGTTTGATTCATTTACGTGGTTGATTATTGAATTATTTTCTTGGAATTGTTTGTGTTATTTTGAAGTGTTGAGTCTTATTTAGATTAATCACCTAGATTATGCTTTTCATATCTATAGCTAAATTAGACCTTCAGTACGTAATTGTTGTTGTGTTTAATTCATAAGAGGCTACCGGAAGACGGTACCTGTGATTCCCCATTTGTTTATTAGATTTTTGGGAGTATTATTTATTGTTATTATTATTTTTATTTGAATTAAATGTCTAATTGATATTAATTGTCTATTATTATATTATTGATTGAATAATATAATTAAGTGCTCGCCTGATTTTATTATCGATCGTTGTTCGATTATCTATAATATTATGCATTTATTTGCATTTTATTTCCCGAGCTCGACAAGTTTTCGGATTATATAGACGATATTGTCTACTTAATCATTTTGAGTAAGATAATATATTTAGACATTTTAGTCTATTTAAATTAAATGAAACCGAATTACTAGAATTTTTCAGTTTAGCGAGGACCGATTATTTCTAGTCATTTTTAGTGTCGTTGATATTAATTTCTCGACTTCTTAAAGTTTTCCGAGACCGAGTTTAAGCCTTAATTTTCAACCTTAGAAGCTTTTGATTCGGCCCTTTTTACTATAGAATTGAGAATCAACCTTTTTCATTATTTTACTCCAATCTTTAACTGATGAAAATCAAATAAATGCTTAGCATTTTTGGTTTAATTGTGCGTGAGTTGGTCAGCCCTTAAGAAGCTGATTTTTAGCTCATATTTCATCCCAATATCTCTCCTAATCAAGCAAGAGTAAGTACTTTTTCCTTCTCTATATATACACACACATTTTTTCACAACCCTCAGCTCTCCACTTTTATTTGACGCCACAAAATACATTGTTCAGAACCCTTCCATCATTGATCAGAATAATCATCAAACCTGCCATTAAACCTCAACCTTTGATCGCCTTTAAGCCCTCAGCCTGTCGCACCATTCTCTTCGTCGCAGACGAGCCCCACGTACGGTGACAAGCAGTCGCGTACGTCCCTGTTCGTGCGAGAAGGATCCCGCGACCAGCAGCAGGCCCGTTAGCGAGGAACCTCAGCCCGTGAACCGTTCGCGCGAGTCCTCTCGTCGTTACAACCATCGCCGTCCGTCGCTAAGTAGGGTCGCGTCAAAGGGATTCGAGCTTTCGAAGTGTCGTTCGTGTATCCGTTGCCAACCAAACCGTAGATTCCCGAAGGAAGGTAATCAGCGAACCTTCTATTTTATTTGTGCTTGAGTTTAATTCGCTGATTGTATGGTATTCGTTGAATCGATAATCCTGTGTTTGGAGTCGGTGTATTATCGGGTCTTGTTGTGTTGATTTGTATGAAATTGACGTGGAATTGGAACTCTCTCATTGTGTTGTCGAGCCCACTTCTTTTGGTTGTATTTGTTACTGATTTAGGTCGAGTATTGGAGTCTCATGTTGTTACCCGAGCCCTTGTCTTGTGACGTTTGATATTCGTTTAAGAATAGAGTTTGAAAACCCTGTTTTGAAACCTTTCACTGATTGCTGTTTGGTCGCTGTTTTGGCCTCTGAAACTCGATCAAATGGTTCCGAGCTCTTCTAGTGATTTGTAGTTCAGTCTGTTATGTTTCATCTCAAACAAGAATCGAATGAATATCAATTTTTTGGTGGGAGTTATTGCCAAAATTCAATGGTTGCGCATCCAGTTTTTTTGGATTTTCAATACTCCATGTAGTCTATTTTCGTTGATGTTTTTTAGTACTGTAACCTTGGGCGCTGCCGCTGTCATCACTCTCTTGTCATCTGGCCATCAGGGCACGTGGCAGATTCAACACCCCCTCACGCGTAGCAGAGCCACTCTTCGGTCGATTCGCTCTCGGATCTCACACATCTCCCGCGAAGGAAACCGGTCTGTTGGCTTCCTTGCTAGCATCGGGTCCTTCACCCCTAGAGACGCATACTTTACCCTGACGATATTCCTTTCCACCTTCGCACCCTCATACGGATAGATCAGATGGGATATCCCTCATTCAGATTTGTGCAGCCGATTCTACCTTTTGGCGCATCTGCCACATTGTGTTGCTAACTTTTTTGTCGGGACTCTCCCCGAATCAGGATTTGTACTCTCGCTGCAGTTACCAGCTTTTCATTATATATTTTCTTACTTTTATTTTTAGGTTTTTATTTGACTTGATGTACATGAGACACTAAATTGTGATATTGTGATCTTTCCACCTATTTAAGGCCTTTTATATACAGGTTGGGGTTTGGCCTTAACTCCCACCCTTCCTAGGGTGTTGTTTGGGATAAAAAAAAAAAAAGGAAACACGTTATCTGATTTTTATTTCTTTATTATTTTATTTTTAACTGCCCGTCCTGAAAGCGATAGGAAATGAGAAAGAAAAATTAAAATGCAAAACAAACCAGATATATTTATTCAAAATATATTACTATTATTTTTGGAAAGGGGGTGTCTATATGTACACCCCCTTTGTGTGTAAAAAAGGGGTGTACATATAGCATTGCCCTTTGTGTATTTTATTAAAAATGGGTGTACATATAGCATTGCTTTTTTGGAAATTAAGCACGCAATTGTATGCAGAAGTTGCGGAAGTTTAAAGAAATAAAAAAGAATAAGAATAAAAAAGAATAAAACAGTTGCGGAACTTAAAAATCTTTTGTGTGGCACTCAACAACTATTGGGTGCGAAGCCGATCTGGTTATGTGCCAAGTCGTAGACGACCCGAAAGCCCTGCTGCAGAATATTACCAATTATGAACGGCCAGTCCGTCGTGTTCGTAAACGCAAAGCAGAATGTGCCCTTGTTGTCCGCTGGAATCAGGTAATTCGACGCCGGCAGGGACACATCGGCATCTTTGAAGTGCAGCACCACCGTTGGCACCTTCACGTCCGTCATGTTTTTGGGCAGATAGAAGCAGGTGTCAAGGACGGATACACTCTTGGCCCGCGTCAGGTTGGAAGCCCCGGCATCTAAAAAAGTGTCCTTGAGCGCGTCGTAAGCGAGCTGGGGCAGATAGGTCAGAGTCGTGCCTGAGTCCACAATCATTCCCCTGTCGAACAGTGACGGTGTGATTCCCGACACCCGCTCTCCGCCGACCGAGATCCCTATCAACTCGACGATGTAATACGTGGGATCCGTCTGCAGCGGCGTGAAAATCGTGTTATTGAAGACCACTGAGTCGCCGAATGTCAAGTAGGAATGTTTGGAGCAGTTGTAGCGGTCCATGAGGCAGTAGGAGAAGTTGTTTATGCCGACCTGGTTGAAAAAGGACAGTCTCCCACGGCCGAGGCCAAGCTGAACGTCGGCAGAGCTGAATGTGCCACTGTTTTTATAGCCGCAGCCGAGGGGTACTTTAGACACCTTGGTGTTCCCAAAGGTGAGCGTCTCGGTCAAAAACTCGCCCTTAGTGAAGGATCCATTGCCATAGCTGTATGTGTAGTAACAGTAAGGTTGCTTACTACAAGGCTTTACCAATGGGTCCAGGAGATGGCAGATTAAGTCGTAGCAGTGGACAGGAGCAAAGGAAGAGGAATTTCTAGGGTTGAAGATGGTGT